AATTTCAATCACATAGATTTGAAGAAATCATCAAATATGTGATTTCTAATGGCATTCCCTCTTACTCTTCCAGAGGCCATGGTCAAGGATGATATGAACAACTACATCAGTCAGTATTACAATGAGCCTAGCAGTGGTGAGTTTTCTTTAAAGATTTTGATTTAAACTGAATTTAGAGTGTCAGCCATTTGTAACTGCTGTATTACATTGACTGACAAGAAAGACTGAGCAATTAAGTAGATCAACCTGGGAAATTAAACCAATATCAAAATCTATCATGTTTTCCCTGAAAGTTTATATTAAACTGATAATCTCTAAAGGATAAGGGACCTGATCTTGCTCCCACTGAAGTCAACCATAATTGTTTCAAGATTCAGGTGTGCATTTTTCCTTGAGTACGTTATGTACTCAATAGAGTGGTTCAAATCTAGAAAACCTAGAAAAGAAATCTAGGGATGAAATAAATGAACAGAAAATCAATAAGTAGTAAACTTAGACAAACCCCTTGCTGTGAAGCTTTTAGAAAGGTTAAACTGAATGAATGAAAGATAAGAAAACTCAACATCAGACAATACTGAGCACTAGCTCTGCATCATACTTCAAATGGATTTCTTTACTTTTAAGTTGAATTGTAGCCCCTAAAGGGTCATAGGAATATCATTTTGCATTGCAATGAACTGTTTTCGTACCTGAATACCCAGTAGTTTGGACTTTAAAAGGTGTGCAACAAAGCACAGTTCACTTGACTGTTCAAATTTGGTTAACAAAAATACCATCACTTATGTGGCACTTTAATGTTCCACTTAAAAGTATTTACTCCCAAATGAGTTTAAAAATAATCAGGAATATTTCAGTCCCGTGTACATCTTCCTGTGTCCTTGTGAACACAGATTCCATTATGAGATACTTGGAAATAAAGCATTTTTTATACATAAATTTAAATTGTAAGCTCTTTGGGGCAGGAGCTCTTTGTTTTTTATTCCTTGTTTGTACGGCTCCTAGCATAATGGGGTCCTGATCTATGATTAGGACTTCTAGGCACGATGGAAAATACTACTACTACTACTATTTCTATGAATATAATCAGCATTCTCTACTTACCAAACAATTTTACATGAAATGTACTGTCGAGTCTTTTTCCACGGATTTTAGAGGCAGCATTTTTATTATTGTACTTACAGATAGTGGAGTTCCTGAAGCCGGTATTTGTGTCATTACCACAGCAGCCATTGACGTGCACCACCCCAATATGTGTTCTGACCTGTTCACAGTGGAAGTGCCCATGAAGATAGGAAATAATGAAACTTCTGCTAGTGTCACATCAGGCAGTGCCTGCAGATCTACTGACAGCTCTGTAACCAGAACCCAAAGTGACAGCAGCCAAACCTTTGGCTCTTCCACAGACTGCAGTACCACCCGGGAGGAACCTTCTGAAAACTGCCCCTTAGACAGGGCTGGGAATGCAAAACATGATCAAATTGATTCCTCAAGGCATAGGGTCAGCAGTGCAGTAGTTCAGGAACTTTTATCATTGTCTGAGGATTCTTGCTTGACACAAAAAGGCTTGGATCCAGTCAACCTTAAATTGCCTAGTCCAGCAGGATCCACCAAAGCTAGTCCTGAGCTGGAACACAGAGTGAATATTTACAACAAGAAGAACCAAGAGAGCTTTGATGTGCCCCAGATTAAGCCAGTTATTCACCTTCAGCAAAATGTCTCAGTGATCTGTGACAAGTACAAATCTTTGGAATCCAAAGAGCAAAAATTGAATAGGGACCCAGATTCATAGTTCTCCAAAGTTGTAGGAAAAGATGGGACATTCTAGAGCTTTAATGGCACCCTCAGAACAATCGTTGGCTGGATGTCTTGCTCCTTGTGTGGTTTGAATGAACTGAATATTCATAAAATGCATGAGTTCTGAGAGCCAACATGAATCCATGACATTCTTGCTTCAGAGGTCCTCAGGCCAAGCTCCAGATGAAAAAAAAAACATTCTGTATTACAAATCAATGACCTCAAAGATGTACAGATTTTTAATCATGGTTTTGTGACATTTCTTAAAAATGCATCAACAATTTTTATGTAACTCTGAACAGCCTTCTGTGAGGTCAAGTTTCAGCAGGGTATGGTATGTGCATATGTAAACTTTTCCTTCTAAGGGTTCTTACTGTCCCTTTGTACATGATAACAGCTGTAAACCCCTTTGTACAAATTCTGCAATTATTTTTGTTCTTTTCAAGGCGCATTTTGGGTGATGCAAATTAAAGAAAAGAAGTGTGACCTGTTTTTGTTTTAGCATGGGCTCTTTAAAAACAGTATTTTGGAAAAGAAAATACTGTTTTCACCTTCAAGTCAACATAAGTGAAAAATGCACATTTTGCAAATTCAATTTTAATTAAAGAAACAAATAAATATATTCATTCTGTGCCTTTTTTTCTTTACAGATTTAGAAGTAGGCTATATTCATGAAGTAATTAGTGTGAGTTTTCATCTTCCATTTGGGAATTATTTTAATCTCATTTACATTTAACTTAGTTTAATGAAATAGTACTATTTATTTATAATTGAGTTATTTGCAATTTACAGAACAAATCCAGTGAAATGTGTATGCTTTTGTGACCCTTTTAGATACTGTGCTGGTTATGCAAGAAGGTGTATTGATCAAATCCACAGTATTAGTGCCCCATTGGTTCTGGCAAACACACATATGAAGCAACTAGGGTTTCAGTGGAAGTTGCTCATGCATTGTCAGGGACAGTCAGGCCCTAGAAGACTTGCCTATGTGCGAAAACTGGGCATTATCAAAGGAAATACCTTTTGAATGTTGTATCTTTAGAATGGAATATCTAAGGAAATTATCCATTTTAGAGTCTAGACTGGAGTACTTGCAAGTATTTCAGCTGCAAGTTGGGATAAGAACATAGGACCTAGCAATAGCAGTCCAATAGCCTGTTTCCACTAGTGGCTGGTCTGTGTAATTGAAAGAAAGGAAGAAAACCTGCACAGTGCACCTAACTGTGTATTACTGTACCATGTAGAAGGAGACTTTCTGACCTTAGATGGTGATCTCATGTTCCCTAGCTAGTGAAACTGCTGTTGCTCTTTATAATCATAGAAAGTTTTATGAAACTCAGGCCATATGACACTACGAGATAAGGTTGAATCTGTTATGGTAAATTTCTGTACACCCGAAGTGTCAAAAGTCTGTGTCTTCCACTGTGGAGTTCAGTATAGTCTTAAGTAACGCATCCCCATTAATGGAGCCTTCTGTCGACTCAAGGGAACTATAGACCAGTCAGCCTTACATCAGTCCCTGGAAAAATCATGGAGGGAATCCTCAAGATATCCATTTTGAAGCACTTGGAAGAGGGGAAAGTGATCAGGAATAGTCAACATGGATTCACCAATGGCAAGTCATGCCTGACCAATCTGATTAGCTTCTATGATGAGATAATTGGCTCTGTGGATATGGGAAAGTCAGTGGATGTGATATACCTTGACTTTAGCAAAGCTTTTGATAGTCTCCCACAATATTCTTGCCAACAAGCTAAGTAAGTATGGATTGGATAAATGGACTGTAAGATGGATAGAAAGCTGGCTAGACTCTTGGGCCCAACAGGTAGCGATTAATGGCTCAATGTCTGGTAGGTGCTCGGTTTCTAGTGGCATGTCCCAAGGATCAATTCTAGGGTCAGTTTTGTTCAACATCTTTATTAATGACCTGGATGAGGGGATGGATTGCACCCTCAGCAAGTTTGCGGATGATATAAGCTAGGGGGAGAAGTATCCCCCTACGGATAGGGTCCAAAGTGACCTAGCCAGATTAGAGGATTGAGTCAAAAGAAATCTGATGAGATACAACAAGGACAGCTGTAGAGTCCTGCAGTTGATTAGGGGGCTGGAGCACATGACCTATGAGGAGAGGCTGAGGGATTTGGGCTTATTGTGTCTGCAGAAGAGAAGAATGAGGGGGGATTTTACAGCAGCCTTCAACTTCCTGAAGGGAGGTTCCAAAGAGTATGGAGAGAGGCTGTTCTCAGTAGTGATGGATGGCAGAACTAGGGAGCAATGGTCTGAAGTTACAGTGGGGGAGGTTTATGTTAGATATTAAGAAAAACTATTTCCCTAGGAGGGTAGTGAAGCACTGAAATGGATTCCCTAGAGAGGTGGTGGAATTGTCATCCCTAGAAGTTTTTAAGTCTCAGCTTGACAAAACCCTGGCTGGGTTGATTTAGTTGGGATTGGTCCGGCTTTGGGCAGGGAGCTGGACTTGATAACCTCCGGATGTCTCCTCCAGCTCCATTATTCTCTGATTCTCTGATTCTATCATTCAAAATTATCTGGACAAACTAGAGAAATGGTATGAGGTAAATAAGATGAAGCTTAATAAGGACAAATGCAAAGTACTCTACTTAGGAAGGAACAATCAGTTTCACACATACAGAATGGGAAGTGACTGTCTGGTAAGGAGTACTACAGAAAGGGATCTAGGGGTCATAGTGTACTACAAGCTAAACAGGAGTCAACAGTGTGATGCTGTTGTAAAAAAGGCAAACTAGATTCTGGGATGCATTAACAGGAGAGTTGAGAGCAAGACATGAGAAGTCATTCTTCCTCTCTACTCTGCACTGATTAGGCCTCAGTTTGAGTATTGTGTCTGTTTCTGGGCACCACATTTCAAGAAAGATGTGGAGAAATGTTAGAAGATCCAGAGACAAGCAACAAAAATTATTAAAAGTCTAGAAAACATAAGCTATGAGGCAAGGCTGAAAGATCTGGGCTTGTTTAATTTAGAAAAGAGAAGACGGAGAAGGGATGATAGTAGTTTTCAAGTATCTAAAAGGGTGTTACAAGGAGGAGGGAGAAAAATTGTTTTCCTTGACCTCTGATAATAGGACAAGAAGCAATGGGCTTAAACTGCAGCAAGGGCTTCAACTGTCAGGGTGGTTAAACGCTGGAATAAATTGCTCAGGGAGGCTGTGAAATCTCCATCACTGGAGATATTTAAGAGCAGGTTAGACAGATATCAATCAGGGATGATCTAGACAGTGCTTGGCCCTGCTGTGAGGGCAGGGGACTGAACTTGATGATCTCTTGAGGTTCTTTCCAGTTCTAGGATTCTATGAGTCTATAAACTCAACCAGACAAGGTCATAAATTGTGTTACTCCTCATGAAATCAGGAGTAACCAACAACAATTTCAGCTGCCCTTGAGCTTGACAAGACAGGCTTAGTTGAGTGGACACATCATTTAGAAAATCAAATATATGAAGCTAAATTCGATGTAAACTCCTAGGCTTTGTCTACACTGGCACGATCTTGCGCCAAAGCAGCCACTCTTGTGCAATAACTTGCTGCCTGTCTACACTAGCCATGTGTTCTTGGGCAAGTAAACTGATGTTCTACGGTATAAAATCAGGGCTTCTTGCACAAGAACTATGATGCTCCCACTCAGGAATAAGCCCTCTTGTGCAACTGTTCAGCTACGTCTACACTGGCATGATTTTCTGGAAATGCTTTTAACGGAAAAGTTTTCCATTAAAAGCATTTTTGGAAAAGCACGTCTAGATTGGCAGGACGCTTTTCCGCAAAAGCACTTTTTCCGGAAAAGCATCCATGGCCAATCTAGATGCGCTTTTCCGCAAAAAAGCCCCGATCATCATTTTCGCGATCGGGGATTTTTTGCGGAAAACACTACTGTGCTGTCTACACTGGCCCTTTTCCAGAAAAAGACTTTTGCCCGAACGGGAGCAGCATAGTATTTCCGGAAAAGCACTGATGATTTTACAGTAGATCGTCAGTGCTTTTCCGGAAATTCAAGCGGCCAGTGTAGACAGCTGGCAAGTTTTTCCGGAAAAGCGGCTGATTTTCTGGAATAACTTGCCAGTGTAGACACAGCCTTCTTGCGCAAGAGGCCAGTGTAGACAGGCAACATGAATTTCTTGCGCAAGAAAGCCCTATGGCTAAAATGGCCATCAGAGCTTTCTTGCACAATAGAGCATCTACCCTGGCATGGATGCTCTTGCACAAAAGCACATGCCAGTGTAGATGCTCTCTTCTGGAAGAGTTTTTGCACAAAAGAGTTCTTGCGCAAGAAGCTGCCAGCGTAGACGTAGCCCTAGTGTAGTCCAGGTCTCACTTTATATCCATCATATTTTGTATCATGGAATTGCATTATAAATTATATCCACATTCTAGTTTTAATTTGCTGCATCCTAATTTCAGTGAATGCTCTCTTGTTCTGCTTCTCTTCATAAGACTAAGTGGCCACTTTTTCCAGGATGTTCAGCATTCACATTTAGGGCCAGGTTTTAAAAAGACACATCAATGGGGCTGCTGGGTGAAAAGCATGTCTGAAAACGTTCATAAATGGGTTCAGTCAAAAAGCTTCCCAATAGAAAAGGCACAACTGTTTTGTTGTTAGCCAGTGATTCTTGCAAGGTAATCAACTGCAATTTTTTGGTTTTTTAATTGAGGCATGTGATGTCTGGTGTTAATTACAAGCCTATATTATCTTACTATTGCCTAGATTAATACAATGCTCTAATTCCCCTAACTTGTACCTGGTTCCTTAGGGAATGGTAAAAAGGAGACATAAGTTTTCATATGGGTCCCATTCAAAGTTACTCTACTATGGACCAGTCTACAGATGCTTCTCATTTATATATTTGGACAATAAATACTTCCTCATTTGCATTTTGCTGAGTTTTGTGGAGAGCATGATGAGTGGGTAGAATGCACTTCCAAGTGAGGTGGTAAAGTCAAGTGCTAATATATTTAAACAAAAATTGGATGACTGTGTGGAATTTGATAGATTAAAAGGGATCATTAGTTCTGTGCTTGAGAGAAGCCAACTCCCTTCCTGAGACTGGAGGGATTTACATTGATCATCCTTTTTCCACAGATCAGCAACAGATTATTTTGCTTTGTATAGGAGTATTTTGCCCTTTGCTTACATATACTGCTTTCTGAAAAGTATCCAGTCAAACACTGATGTTGTCAAACTCCTTCTAGGAAGGCAGCATTACTAGCTGGTATAAGGTCCTGGACCACTGTGCAACCCTTTTTTTTAAAGCCAAGACAATCGCTTATGTATGAGCTTAACTTTATCACCAAGAGTAGTACTAGAGATTTGTTACTAACTGTAGTAAAATTAAGCATGTACATAAGTGTTTGAAAGATCAGGACTGAATAAATCATTCTGATCTAATTGTGAAATATTAACATAATAAAATAACACCCTTCTGTAATACATGCACACTGTGGGTATTTGTCATTTACATGAAATAAGTGACCACTACATTAAATAAGTTTATGGAATTCAGTCAGTGTACAGCTTGAAAGGTAAGTCTGATTTGTTGAAATGACAAATGTATTACTAATAGTAATCTGTACTCATTTTTTGTTTTGCCACAGACAGAAAAGGCTGAGTGGAAGAAAGCATGAGAGGAAGGGAAGTGATCAGAATCACAAAGAGATTGTCAGTGGTGACAGATGACAGAACAAGGAGCAATGGTCTGAAATTGCAGTGGGGGAGGTCTAGGTTGGATATTAGGAAAAACTATTTCACTAGGAGGGTGGTGAAGCCCTGGAATGGGTTACTTAGGGAAGTAGTGGAGTCTCCATCCCTAGAGGTGTTTAAGTCTTGGCTTGACAAAGCCCTGGCTGGGTTGATTTAGTTGGGATTGGTCCTGCTTTGGGCAGGGGGCTGGACTTGATGACCTTCTGAGGTCTCTTCCAGCTCTATAGTTCTATGATTCCTGATTTTAAGAGGAATAAGGGATCTTTCAGAAAAGGCTTTATTTTCTGAAAGATCCCCGTCTAGACTGGCGCTTTTTGCCGGCAAAGCCCCGAGCTGGAAAAAAGCGGCAGCCATGTTTATGCAAATGAAGCGGGGAAGATTTAAATCCCCGCTTCATTTGCAATTGCGCTGTGTCTAATTTGCATCCCTTTTACGGAAAAGGGATGCAGTCCAGACACAGCCCAAATATATTTTTGCTGGAGTTGCTGATAACTGTGTAGCATTAATGCCAACAACAAGCAGTATTGAATTTGAAGCTGTTGCATGTGTGTGTGGGGGGCTCAGGGTGCAAATTTGGTCCTGATGGGTATTGGAGCAGTCCCTAAGAACATCTAATCAGACACCGTACCAAAGATTTGTTTTCCAGAGACCATGTTTGAATTCTTCCACTTCCCAAATAATGTCAGCCTCAGTTCTGGGTAAGGAAAATATTGAGGGGAGGGTTGTTCCTGGGATAACCCAGCTACTTGGATGCAAGTCATTTTTCAGAGTTGTATAAAGGCAGTTGTGTTCTTCATCAGTGGAGCTCCCTGTGC